TGAAGCACGGATACTTCAAATAGGGTGACGTATCCGTATTGTATCCGTATCGGATACCAATACTCTTTGGATACTCGCGGATACGTATCAAATACTTATTAAAAGTATCGGATACTTCTTAATTATTTTTTCATTAATTTTGGAGTATCAGATACTTAATTTTAAAGTATCAGATACTCCAAGTCATGTTTACTTGTTTTATGAAATTAGAATTATAACATTTCTTGCATAGTAATATAATATAATATAATATAATTGCAAGTATAAATATAAGAATATTTTTCTAATACTTTGTTAAGTTCTTCGATAAGAAGAGCATAGTGAGTTAAATAATAGAATTTATCAAATTGATATATCCTAATTATTTCATGCATGTCCCCTATAACTACATAAAAAGTAAGACTTAACAAGAGAATATAACAATGGTAAAATTAAATATCAAATAAATAAATAAGCAAGTAAACTCGAATACAGTATTTTTCACTAGTGTCAAAGGAAAAAGCATAGGGACAAATTGTGAATTTTTCTATTATTGTAATATAAATATATTAAACTTGATATTGAAATGAAATATTTGCAAGACCTATTAAAAATTTAAAAAGTAAACAAGCTACTAGCTTAAATTAATACAAAATTCTTAAAGGTTAGTATTTTGCATTATAAAATTACATTGTGGTTTCTCAACGTTCTTTAGCTTATGTGCAACTCACTATTAATATATAATATATAAAACAATGCCCAAATAATACACATTAATGTGTGTTTGGGAGGGGAAAAAATTGGGTACACACCTAACCTTTGGCATAGTGCACAAAGTGGCTGCCCTGAGACTTGAACCCATAACCTCAAGGTTATTAGGCCAAGATTTTACCATTGAACCAATGTGCAACTCACTATTAATAATTTTAATGGTCACCCCACTATTAATAATTTTAAAAAATATATTCTTCACAAACGTATCTTAGCCGTACCGGTATCCTATTTTTTTAAGTTTTGTCATATCGTTGTATCCGTATCGTGTCATATCTGTATCTCGTATCCGTATATATGCTTCCTAGTGAAGGCGAGTTCCATTATGAATTAATGTATGTAGATGTGTTCTATGTTTCATGAATTTAATCATTAGAACAACTGTGATGTAAATCTCTGGAAAGGTCAGTTCAGGGCTATAAATTATAATACTGCCATCATATATGTAATATTTTCTTCTTTCTGGGCTTGGCCTTAAACTTCTAAGTTTTAATCTTAATGTGGTGTGTTCCCTCTCGATGTTTGTGCAGAATGGAAAGTGAAGAACACATATTGATATCTGAATTGAATGAGAAAATTTTCCAGATCTTTTCAGATTTCATGTCAAGGTGAGTCTCAATCCTTCATCACTATGCTAATGTTTTTTTACTATTATTGTAAATTATCATTCAAGTGGAAGAATACACCTCGGGCTTTATTTTGCAAAATTAGCATGTCCATTAGAGGAGCCGTATCTGTTGTGAAGTGCTGTACAAAGAGCATTTCTTTCTAAGATAGGCATGTCCAACTCAGAATCGTATCACTTGGATTTTGAAAGGACCTCTATAACGTTACAAATCTTTTGAAGTTTTATCATTCTCGAAGAACATTGCAAATGTTTATTTGAAGAAACGAAGCAATATAAAGATGCATTGTTGCTATATTAATGTGATGGCAAATGGCCATTGAAACATGTCATGCATGTTCATCCCAAGTTTGGCATTACATAGTTTAGATATCTTGTTTCCTCGTTAGAATTGGAGTCAAAGCTAAGTTTCAGTAGTTTGGCAGTGCATACCGAATCTTGACATCCCTTATGCTTTTATATCGTGATTTATATCATAGTTTTTCTTAAACCAAAATGATCTTATCTTCCATGGTGGAATTTTTTTTTTATTTATTTGTCATCTAATATAGTTCCTTCCATTACAGGGTCACAAAATTTGAGGAGTTGGTTGCTGTGGGAAGTAGGTTACTTGTTGGCTTTCACCAAGGACTAGGTTAGTGGTTTTGGGAATCTATTAATTATTTTCTGCAGATAGTGCGATGAGGTTCTTCACTCCTTTAGTAAGCTCTGTCCCCATGTTTTCATATAGAGTTTCTTTGCCGGCTGCCAATAAACAAGACATCTGAGTTGATCGAGCGCATCTTTAAAGCTAATGAAACCAGGAGGGTTTTAACATATGTTGAATCTGGATGCATAAATGCTCATGACAGCATACAAAATATAAGCAACTGTAAGTGCATGCATAATTCTCTCATTTGAATTAAGGTGGGTACTTTAGGGGCAGTGATTATTTGACTTCTCCAATGAAGCTATTTTCGCTAATTACTTTTCTAGAAACATTCCAAATGTTTCCCCCTTGAAACCTCTCTCTTCCTTGAAACTAATAGCCCTTACTGCATAATGGGATGCCACCAACACTCTGAATTCTTGCAATACTAAGCTTGTTTCTCCCACTTGTAATATAGCACTGCCTTCAATTTTTCGTCTTCCATTACTAGTGATGTAATGATGTGATTATCACAGTTTCCACATGTCTCTTTTGGATCTATAGGCTTTGAGTTCTTTGCTTGGTTAGTTCCGGCCGCAAGCTTACGCTGCACAGTGTGTATTCATATCAAGTTCAGTTGGTGCTATTAGAAAACCTGGATTTTTCTCTTCTTGCCGTTATTTCATTGGTCTATTGTGTTTTTAGATACAACTTACAAGTATAATTTAGTTCCTAAATTGCTAATGTGCTATCTCAAAATTTATTGGCCTTACTTTTTTCTTTTTTCCTTTCTTTTTTCCTGTACTTTGGGATTTGCATAGAGAAGTGCATACATGCCAAGTTGGACTTCGCGACCATTTAAATAAAGGTAAAATCAATCCCTGAATTATTATTACTTTCTTGATGTTTTCTCCGTAAATCATAGTGGATTAGTGCTTAAAGTTGTGTAAATCAATGATGCAGTTGCGGTTATGTCAAATTTTCATGTTTGTGGAATTGATTGCCATCTACACTGGGTGGCTTTCATGATGTCTAATATTGTTCCTGCCAAGTATAGTTTGTCTTCACCATATTTTGATAATAAATTTTCCCAAATTTCATGTGTAAAAATATTCTTGGTATGCTTATTATTAAAGTGAATTTCTAGTGATATGGCTTGCTCTTTCTTAAATATGCCATAACTTTCATGAGCTGTCTAGAAAATCATGCATATCAGTTGTCAACCCACCTGAACAAAAGTTCCATATTGATAACCAACCCAAACCAAATCAAAACAAGCCTTAAGTCCCATCAAATGGGGTCGGCTAAAGTTCCATATTGATCTATTATGCAAATTTAGAACTTATAGAACTTTATGGCTGCTTTGGATGTTTCATTTTTGTTTTAAGATTGCAATTGTTGTTGTTTCATATCCAAGATTAGAATTCTTCGTAACCAATGTAGATGTTTAAGAAAACGTTGTCTTTGCAGTGAAACTTCATATGCCGCTTGTCGTTGTTGTTTTCCCACTTTTGGATAGCCATGAAAAAAGTACAAATAGTAGAGTAGAGTAACTTTCTTTCCTTTTTTTTTTCCCCATCATATTTAACATTATCGAGTGGAAAGTCTACCACATTTTGGATCATGCAAGTTAGTGGTGAGAACTGCCAATATTTGCTTATTTTGGTGATCTTTTTTGTATGCATGTTTGTCATGGGGTTGTGATGCTGATGTTCTGTTATGTTTATGAATTTAATACAATTTTCCTGGTTGATATTGCAAATGTTTATTTGAAGAAACGAAGCAATATAAAGATGCATTGTTGCTATATTAATGTGATGGCAAATGGCCATTGAAACATGTCATGCATGTTCATCCCAAGTTTGGCATTACATAGTTTAGATATCTTGTTTCCTCGTTAGAATTGGAGTCAAAGCTAAGTTTCAGTAGTTTGGCAGTGCATACCGAATCTTGACATCCCTTATGCTTTTATATCGTGATTTATATCATAGTTTTTCTTAAACCAAAATGATCTTATCTTCCATGGTGGAATTTTTTTTTTATTTATTTGTCATCTAATATAGTTCCTTCCATTACAGGGTCACAAAATTTGAGGAGTTGGTTGCTGTGGGAAGTAGGTTACTTGTTGGCTTTCACCAAGGACTAGGTTAGTGGTTTTGGGAATCTATTAATTATTTTCTGCAGATAGTGCGATGAGGTTCTTCACTCCTTTAGTAAGCTCTGTCCCCATGTTTTCATATAGAGTTTCTTTGCCGGCTGCCAATAAACAAGACATCTGAGTTGATCGAGCGCATCTTTAAAGCTAATGAAACCAGGAGGGTTTTAACATATGTTGAATCTGGATGCATAAATGCTCATGACAGCATACAAAATATAAGCAACTGTAAGTGCATGCATAATTCTCTCATTTGAATTAAGGTGGGTACTTTAGGGGCAGTGATTATTTGACTTCTCCAATGAAGCTATTTTCGCTAATTACTTTTCTAGAAACATTCCAAATGTTTCCCCCTTGAAACCTCTCTCTTCCTTGAAACTAATAGCCCTTACTGCATAATGGGATGCCACCAACACTCTGAATTCTTGCAATACTAAGCTTGTTTCTCCCACTTGTAATATAGCACTGCCTTCAATTTTTCGTCTTCCATTACTAGTGATGTAATGATGTGATTATCACAGTTTCCACATGTCTCTTTTGGATCTATAGGCTTTGAGTTCTTTGCTTGGTTAGTTCCGGCCGCAAGCTTACGCTGCACAGTGTGTATTCATATCAAGTTCAGTTGGTGCTATTAGAAAACCTGGATTTTTCTCTTCTTGCCGTTATTTCATTGGTCTATTGTGTTTTTAGATACAACTTACAAGTATAATTTAGTTCCTAAATTGCTAATGTGCTATCTCAAAATTTATTGGCCTTACTTTTTTCTTTTTTCCTTTCTTTTTTCCTGTACTTTGGGATTTGCATAGGGAAGTGCATACATGCCAAGTTGGACTTCGACGCCCAAATAGTACACATTAATGTGTGTTTGAGAGGGGAAAGATTGGGTACACACCTAACCTTTGGCATAGTGCACAAAGTGGCTACCCTGAGACTTAAACCCATAACCTCAAGGTTATTAGGCCAAGATTTTACCATTGAACCAATGGTTACCCCTAACTCTCTTTCACATGCATTACTAAAAATATTTTAGTGTACTCTTGTTTGCCAAGTTTGATTTCTTTCAAATTGGGTTGATTCATAGAACTTGAACTTTGTTCATTTAGCTCAACAATCTAAATTTTGCGAGCACTAAACAAAGTGTACTCAAGGCTCTAGCTGCTTGGTTCTTTTAACAGTTGTAACCTTGAGGTATGGTGAATCTTGCCTAGACATGAGCTTTTGGTGTGGTTAATTTCTAACAGCCTTCATTTCTCCGTTGTATGTTTCCACTTTGATGGAAGAGTATTTTTTTTTTTTTGTCCAAATTCTAGGGAGTATATATGTTGTTTGGAAACATAGTGTTTGTTCATAGTGTTTATTGCCTAGCCTTAGAAAACTGTCCAGGAACTTTCCCGGATGCAACTTTAGCTTCATTGGTTTCTTTAATATTTTTTCATATTTACTTGGAAAACTTTTTGTAAATTTCTCATCTTGTCTACTAACTTCTATACAAGCCTTTTTCTAATAAATAATAATGCTAAATTATTTAAAGAGTCATGCTAATGACAGCCCAATGGGCTGCCAATAAGGGGAAGAAAACGCCAAAAAACTCTCAATGTATTTTTTACACATCCCAAAGCATTTTCACAAATTTGGACACACTTTTTACACGTCCCCTGGTACTGTTGACAGCCCAAAGGCTGTCTTTAGCATTTTTCCTTATTTAAATTATGCAAATGTATTCCATGTCCAAGAGATATGCTGGAAGACTCATAGGAATGATGGAAACAACCAGTAGAATACTGCATGTTTTACAAAACTAAGTTGCATCTCTCTCTCTCTCTCTCTCTCTCTCTGGGGGAGTTTGAAGTCCTCTATGGAGTCCACCCTAATTTTTTTGTCATTTGTATGCTTTGCAGGAAAATCCCTCACTACATACTGTTGAAATGGCAAATGTGGAATCAGTGAGTTTTTAATTGAATGATTTATATATGAATACTTTAGTTGTGTTATAATATGGTGAAAATACAAATAGATTCATATCATATCTTCAGGGGTTGTTTGGTAATTGTGTTGGGCTAAATAATCACAAAAGGACAAAAAAAAGTCAAAAAATCACAAAAAGCCAAAAATCACAAAAACACAAAAAAAATCCACCATTCCAAAGCTAAAAAGCCAAAAAGCCAATCAAGAATACCAAACGAACAAAAAAATCCCAGGCTAAAAAAGTCAAAAAAAACCAAAAAGTCAACTAAAAAAGTTATTGCCAAACGAAGGCTCAGTATCTTTTGGTTTTGTTTTTTTTGGTGTGTGTGTATATTTAATATAAATGTGTAACACATTTTAGAAGAAAAGAACGAAGCATGCTTTTGTATCTATTGGTTAAAATGATGAAAAATTGAAAATGAGCTTTATAGACTTGTAATTTACATATGGCTCTAGAGAATTATTTTTGGGTGCTTCGAATGCATGTTGTTGTGTGTTCCTATAGTCAAGAGCACTCTATCGAGCTTGCCCATTTATTTTTTGTCCATGACCCATTTTTGGTGTTTTATCCTTTCAAAACGTTACTCACCTAAGGTTTTAGTTCAATTGTGAATTTTATTTTCCTCCCAAGGAAACCTTCGAGGAAATATATTTGAAAACCTTTTGAGATCATTAAATTTACGATTTTGGAACAAAAATTTACCATGTTTTGGAACGTGCTTTCCAAAATCTAATTCGTTTGGGTGTTAATGTTTTGTGGTAACACTTTGGTTTTATGGATTTTGTAGAGAGCTTATTTCCATTGGTTTTTTAATTGGGGTGCATTCTGCACATAGCGCATGCCTATTGTCTCTGTTGGTTTGCAATAAATTATCCTTGTTTTTTTTAAATGCAGAGGAAGATTCAAGTAATTTGATTACCTTCAATTATTCTAAATACATTGATCCCTCTCTAAACCAAATTTCTCTCTTCTTATTCAGTATTCTAGTTCATCATTAATGGATTACTCTCAATTTTATATTAATTGGTCAATTGGAAAGAAGATGAAATGGATTATATCTCTTCTTTGCCAGACATTCGATTTAGGCAGTTCAAAAGCTATGGACTTTCTGGATACATTTCTATCCATGAATCCAAATTCCAGGTATGACGACAAGAAATTTTAATTTTAGTGGTATTTCTATAATACAATAATTATCATGTATGGCTTCATTTTCCTGTAAGGAGCTATTTATAATATACTTTTGATCAAAACTACTTGAGTTGTTCATCTAGAACTTCATGCCACCTTACCTACATGCAAGTCCCTAAATGTGATCAATTTTCCTTCATTCTGTCGCACAAGATTATTGAACAGGGTATTTGAATCATGGATGAGTGATCTACTTGTTTTTTTATTTTTTATTTTATCCTTCATTTCATGTGCTCTTTCTGTCCTGTTTCTTTTTCCTTTCTTTCGCTTGTAGATGTGATTTTTATTTGAGTTTATTAAAAAGTATATTTTCATTGAACTAAAGCTGCATCCATGCCAATGATGAAAATGAAGGATTTTTTGGTGGCTAAATGAAATTATTCTTGATATTTCATTATTTGATTTAAAAGCATATTTAAATTGCTTCTTCCCATTTTTCTCTGATATATCAAATCCTTGGTAGGGTTATTGTAACGCCCTCAAAATAATAACATTAAACCCATCAATAAAGACATGCATTGATAATAAAGATAGACATTCTTCTATTAATCAGAATTGTTCCTTGCAAAAGTATTACATGTTAACAACAAAAGCAAATGCCCTACGGGCTTACAGCTTTCCAAGTTAACACTTGGTTACAACAAAGAGTACTACTCATTTACACTTTAAGCCCTTGGCTTGAAATTACATGTAATACAACAAAATAAAACGACAAAAAGATATGTCCGCCTCTAGCCTCCCAAGCTACGTCCTTGGAGGTGGCATGCTACCTGTACCTGAAAATGATATTCCCATATAGGGTGAGCCACAGCCCAGTAGAAATACACTAAACCCACCATGAACAATGACTAAAAGATTAGCAATTGATAGATGGCCAACACAGATACGTCCATATAAATTACATTATATGACAAACGACTTATGAGTCCAAGTTACCTTTCATTTTCCCTTTTTCGACAGATAAGCATATTAGCTCTATCGTTAACTCAACAGATATGTATAAAACTATATCCCACATTCACAGATAAGCATGTTAGCCCTATCTTCACTTCTCTAGACAAGCATATGAGCTATATCTACACTTCTCAAAGATAAGCATATGAGCTCTATCTTCATTTCTCTAGACAAGCATATGAGCTCTGTCTACGGAGTTCATCCCCCATCTCCTCCCAAGTCTATCCGGTTTAGAGGTACATCCCCCATCTTCCCCTAAACCGCGGAGTACATCCCCTATCTCCTCCTCTACACATAATGCCTCCAGATTTTCAAGGCAAAGATCACAGCCGCTAACACTCTAACTAGATCAAACCCTAGAGAGAAGGGAGTATCTAGAGAGAGAGGCTCTCAAAAAAGGTTTTTAGAAAAAGTAGGAGAGAGAAAGGAAAGCAAAAAGTGATTTGAAATCACCCAGCGGATAACTCATATACGTATGACCCGCTCGAGCGGAGAACACGACGCCCGAGCGCCAAGAACAAAACTCTGGACACGCTCGAGCGCAATAAGGCCCGCTCGAGCGCCAAGACACAAGAATAAAGCACCTCCGCTCGAGCGCGAAAACCAGTCCGCTCGAGCGCAGATTTCCACCTCCCAGAACTTACACCAGAAGGTACCACCCGCTCGAGCGCCACCGCTCGAGCGTCAACAAACCCGCTCGAGCGTAAAAACCACATCTACAGAAGTTTTGCAGAAACACGAAAATACTGGAAGTGTGCAATCTCCGCTCGAGCGCAAGAAGACCCGCTCGAGCGGAACGCCCAAAAACTGAACAACAAGGAATTTGAAACCAAGGCCCAACCAACCTGTAACAAACCCTCCCAACACATCCTATAACTCAAATACAAAGTAAAAAGGATGTAAACAAGATAATAACCAACTACCAACATCTACGGACATATGTCCGGATCACTGTACAACAAGGGTAAACCCGAGATCGCTATAGTTATAATTAACGTTGATCATGAGTATTTCTGTGAATATATTTTTTTGCCCTCATCAGTATGCTGTGTCTTAGTTATGCACTGGATAATCCTACTGTTGCACTGAAATTCATTAATCATTATCATATCAGGCTTTTCTTTTCTCTTTATTTTTTCTTTTATGCATGATTTTAAAACATGTGAGCTCAATTTTCTTCCAACAACTGGGTTTCGAAATTGACACTTTTTTTTATATTGTGATTTGTGACTATTATAACATACTGTAGTGCTTCACTGAACTGAAGATGTAGACCATATGTATCTAAATATGCTTAACTCTGTCCTAGTTGCAACATGCAGCACTAAAATGCTTTCTTTTCTCTCTTGAGTTTGTCTAATTGCATTTAAGTTTATGTTAATATCAATAGCCCTTAAGTTGACGGTGATGCAAGAAATGTTTATCTCACTATTTGCATCCTACTCATAGCAGACAGGTTAGAATCCACGATTTCTTCAGGGTCCTGAGATTGAAGGCTTGTAATCTTTCTGAAAAGGTTAGTTACCAAGTATTTTTCACTTTTTATGTAACCTGCTTATCTTTAATATGAATATCTTTTTTGTGTCTCTATGCTTGAAAGGCCTCTTTTAAGTATGCTATCTCTGTCTAGTTCTTTTTCAATTTTTGACATTTGAACTGCAAACTCATTTGTTACATATATATATTTTAAAAATTAATTTGCCATAGAGTGAAGGTCGATATACATTTGAACAATAAAATTGTCACAAGACAGGCATGACAATTTTTAACAAGGATTTGTGTTTGTGTCAAATGCCAATACTTTTCATACTTCCGGAGTTATGTAGAACACATTTTAAAGCTGTTCTTTATTCAAAAATTAAACTTCATGATTTATGACACTTGGGCAACATGTCCTTACACTGGCCAATATGTAACCCGCAGAACTCATTTGTTGGGTTACTAATTTCATCTAGTTTAGAGAAAAATTTTAATCATGAAGAAATATCAAGTCAAAGGCTTATACCTAAATTTTCAATTTGGCCATATTTTAAAAGAGGATAAATTACCTGTATGGAGTGGGGTGTGGAAGGAGAGAGGGTGTGGGAGGAGAGAGAAGTCATTATAGTAATCTGCACTTCTGTGCCTGACACAAGTTCTGCTCTATCTATCTCTGTCATCATCAATGATTATATCAATATAATTCACTACTAGAAAGTTCAATTACAACTTAAACGATCCCATTACAAGGGTGAGGACACTCTAAATACACATATTGCCCAATTAGAAGCAAATCAATTAGGAAATTGAAAGATGCTTGATTATTATCCGTGGATTGATATGACTACTTTCAGTATGTATACATAACCAAGTAGGACTAGTTCAGTTGACCAGAATTCTTGCATCGCTCATGTAGGTCAAGGGTTCTTGTCTTGCCATGGACAAGGCTCCCCTCCTCGCAAGGCTATGATTGCAAATGTCCAAAAATAAAAAATAAAATAAAGAAAGATATTACCCCTTGGAACTTGCAGACTGGGGACCCTGACATTCCAAAGTTGTATAACAGAATGCTCAGCTCTTGATTGGATTCCAAAGCTGCAATGGCTTGTCACACTTGATTAAAACCTGTGTTAAGTATCAAATGAAAAAAATACTAGAAGCATGTTTTTCCTTAATTTTTCTTATCAACCTGTACAGAATTGAGTGCAGCAAGTATTGAACGATGTTCTCCAAGAACTTCGCACCAGTGACTGCAAGGCTATGACAATTATCATGGTCATTAATTCCTCTGATTTACTTGAACAAAAATACTTAAGCATTAAGTTGCACAAATGATAGTTAATTAAAGGAGAAGGCAATATACGTTAAGACGACAATATATTAGATTTGTGATATATTAGATTTGTGAATCATATACTATGCGATTTGCTATGTAATAGTACTCTTATTTGCTGTTGTGTATCTATTTTCTTATGATTTGATGAGTCACTATCTAACTTTCAATGTTGGACTGTGGTGATGTCCCATGTCTGTTCGTACTTCTTAGATGTTGACCCATGTTATGTCTTTGTGATGACTTGAACATAGTTGCTGGTGACACAAAATGGATGTGAAATTATGGTTACTACTAGGAAAATGCAATATTGTATAATTATGAAGCACGGGTACAGATACTAATACGATACGAGTATGTCGATATGGCAAAATCTAAAAAAATTAGAGTACGGATAACGCTTGGTATGTTTGTAAAAAAAATATTTATTTTTAATTTGGAATAATACAAAAATTGATTAAATGATTTAATTTGTTAAGATTCAATCCACAATTAACATTGAATGCCAAAAGTAAATGTATAAACCAAAATTAAATGTCATTATATTAAATAATTTACAAATCACAGCTTAATTTTATTTATAAGGGTAAACTATCAATAGGTCCTAATAATTAGACTTAATTCTCATCAAATCCTATTGAAAATAAGACCTAGTACAATGTGACAATTTTTTGCATATGTCGCTAAAAATTGACAATTAGTGACCTTTTTTTGTCATGGTTTTTTATAAATTGTTACTAAAACTTACAATTAGTGATTTTTTTGGGATAAATTTTTCAAACTGTCATTAAAAGTTAAAAATTAATAACATTTTTTTAAACTGTTGCTAAAACTTATAATTAGTAACATTTTTTTTGACAATTTTTAATCTATCGCTAAAAATTAACAATTAATAGCATTTTTTAATAGTGTATGATAAAAAATGTCATAAATTATCATATAACCTATCGGACAATAAGTCCACTTAGTAGGACCTACACGTAAGTCTCCCATTTTATAATCATGCTAAGCATAAAATTAAAAATAAAAATAAAAAGTCTAGAGAAAGAAATTTTATCTTTGTAGTAAAGAAAATAGTGTTTCGACTAAGGTACGGTATAACTTAGGTATATATTAGGTACGTTTGAATATTCCAAAAATTTGAATACGTGTTTCGTGTATCCAGTAGGTGTGCAGAAGTACACCATACGAAGTACCATTCGCCGTTTAGTACCCAGTACTAGTACGACATGTTTGTCAAAATACTCATACTTCATAGTTGTATAACTAAGTAGACAATACTAGGCCTTAGTCTTGAATGGATGGATATGAGGCCTTTGCTGGGGAAATAAATTAGATGCGTGACTAAATTTTGTTGTCCATGAAATGTGAAACAACATTACAATTTACAGCTACTTGATTTGAGAAAGTTTTCATATTTAAGAAGTTATTTTTTCTTGATTTCATCACCTATCTCATGGCAATTATTCTATGTTGTAGATATTTGGAGTCCTTGATGTGGAGAAAAAAAGGGTAAAATAGCATTCAAGCAGGGGATAATCTCTCTCTTAGTTATACATGCGATCCCCAATTGCTCCCAACTGTGTCTGCACAAAGCCAATACAGAGCCTCTCATAGATGGAAAATCTATTGTTTGCAGTTCCTATATGGGTCAGCTCATGTCCTACAGCAACCATTTTCAAACGAACCGTGAATTGGCCTTCGCTGAGTGTCACACTGGTGGAAACCATTACATTTCCGAGCAAGAAGTATGTCTCATACTCTTTTCCTTGGTATTCCCTTTTATTTATTATACTTTTGGATAAGGTTTAAGTTGTGTACTCTTCGTTGGTAAATGGATGGCTCAGTTGGGAGATTCCATTAAGCCGACTATTCCAAACATGGACAAGTTTGAGGTGAGTAATTGACATCCTCATGGGTTCAATGGACATGTCAGTCTAATCCATACAATAACCTTAGAAAAGTAACCACAACGATATATTTTTCTTGAAATTCTTTCGAACTGAAGCTTTGTTTTACTTTACATTTGTAGATCCATGAACTATTCAAATCATTTGATACCGATAGCGATGGGAGGATCAACAAGGATGATTTTATCGCCTGTTTAAGAAGAAATCCGTTGCTTGTTGCACTTTTCTCTCCCCAGTTAATGCACAAGAACTTGTCTAGAGTCGATACATAGGAGGTTAAAGGAGATGGTGTGATGGATGATGGGTTGATGAGTCTTCTTGTAGATTTGGCTCTATGAAACATTTTAGCTCTTTCACAAAGGGCTTAAGTGAGGGATAGGTCATTTGCATATAATTCTTTTTCTTTTGAAAATAGTCACTTAACTTCTTGTGGTTTGTTGAATAAAATATACCATCTTCATCAAAATTAACAATGTATTACACATGTCTACGTTTTCAAATAGTAGGGGATTATGTGTATATATAGGGGTACAGTGAAGTGTTTAGTTTAGGGGATTATGTGTTTATTTCAAATGACATGGGTATTATGTGCACATAACTTGTACTATAAAGGGATAAAGTGAAATATTGGTTTTTTTTTTTTCTTTTTTTTGGAGAGGAGAGGGGATAAATTATAGATATTCTACTTGAAATTTGTCTACAAATATAGTTTACTTCTTGTGATTTTAGAAATTACAATTTTTCCCTCGTCAAAATTAGTTTATTAACAGAGTTGACAAAAAAAATAAAATTAACCCTTTTTTTTCCCATAATTAACATTACCGTATTACCTATCTCCCTTTCCTTTGTTGTTAAACTTGTTCTTATTTTTCTTTCATTTCAACCACTTTCTATCCTTGTCCCCCACTCTAGCACCCGACCCTCTCTCTTTCTGCTTCACAGCTACCATTGTAATTTCTTTAAATGGTTGGTGTACACTTTCTTTCCTAGTCACCTCCACTCCCTTCCCTACTTTCGCTGCTTACTCTCACTCCCACTTGTACAATCCTTTCTTGAAACACTTTATTAGTGCTCTTGTATTAAAATCTAATCAGAATATACCTGGAGCCATCTCCTTATTAATATAACCTTACCCACCACTCCTACTCCCAGTTGTACTTGAAAAAGAAAATAATAATAAACAAATAATTATCAATCCCTCAGCCAAATAAATATTGGTTTAACATTCAGAATTGACACCATTGTTGTGTGATTTCAAAGAAAGAGACTTGCATATTTTTTTCTTTATTTTTTTGTATTTTAGTAAATGCTTTTGTGACTACTTTCTTCTTTCTTTGTGGGACCTACCATTATTGGGTTCACACTCTCTTCTTTTCTGTTTGTCATTTTTTTTTTTTTGAGTTAATTAAAAAAAAAAATATAAGGTTTCACACCATTTTCATTTTAAATCTTAGTATTTCAATTTTAACAAATTAAACTTTGGAGTTCCATCTGTATTTTAATGCGCCCTCTTCTCCGTTCATTTTCGTCTCTATAAGATAATGGAGAATCGTTTTGAGGTTTAAAGTAAAAAGCACTAGAGTTTAAAGTGAAAAACGCATGAAACTTTAAAAAAAATTGTAATTAACCCTTATATTTAGGGGTTGTTTGGCGTGTTCTAAATAAGTGCAATTTTTATCTTTTTGGACTAAAAAGTTGAGGAAAAAAATATGGATGTTCGAGTTAACTTTTTGTCTTTTTACGAAAAAATGTGTAATAAAAAATTGTATAAATAAAATGTATAGGGGAAGAAAGTTGAGTAGGTAGTATGGCTGCCTTGCTGGGGCAATGTGTCTTACACAGTAAATTATTACCTCCTTCGGGGCAAAGCGTTTGGACAATGATGGTCGGTCCATGGGGGCCACCACAGGTCCCACTTTAATAATCTGAACCGTTCAATATGTACAACTCGTCGAGTATTATATTCCTGTAAAAAATCACGTTGATCGGATATCGATAGCTATATGACCGGATTAGTTTTTTTTTCAACAGTTAACTATCACACCATCCGTTTTGTTTATACAAAACTAATTTGATCATATCGTTAACGATATTCGATTAACGTGATTTTTTACAGGCATATAGTCTCGACAAGTTCTACATATTGCACGGTTCAGATTATCAAAACGGAACCCTTAGTGGGCCC